AACTCGGGGGTCAAACATTGACTGCAATTTTAAACTTTTGTCTTTAATCTAACAAAAAAAAAAAAAAAAAAAAAAGTAGTTACTTTTGTACAAGTCTAAATAAAATTTTCACCTGGAAATTCTATGTCTTACTATAAACCAGTGGAAATGGCACAGGGTCACTGTAACAATGGCACCTCAGTTTCCTCTCATGTGCGACTTAAAGCTGCAGATTTCCATTGTTCCTCAGTGTTGCAAAAAATTAGTACGCTTACATGTAGTGGTTTTTTGACTCTCCGTAGAAGAGTTAATGCGCTGAAGGAAAGATGGAAGCACTCTATCATACTTTCTCATCCATTGGTGAATCTGTGTGAGTCTACTGAGGCACAAAACTCAGAAATTGCTGAAAGTCTAAACCTGCAGCTGGGAAGGGTGGCCTCTCTCAGATTTGTGAGATGTGTCATCCATGCTTGTTTGCAACCTCTCCATCTTGTTTGTTACAGCCAAACGTACGGTCAGCATCTAATGAAATTATGCTTTGCGGAGCCTGGTTGATTCTCTCCAAACCAGTAATTTATATTTTCTTCTTTGTGTCATTTTAAAAGTTTGTGTGTTGTAAAACTCACACAAACTGGAATTTATCAGACAGGGTTGCTTCTCACAGAGGCAAACTGTATAACCACAAACTGTGGAATTATTTATGAGGAAAAATTCAATAATTCAGTTTTATCTTGAATATTTTTTTAAAAAGCAACTAGAACTTTCTGACTTTGGATCTCTGCTGACTGTATTTTGTGCTCACACTCACTTTATTGCAGCAAAATCTGATTTTCCAATATGGCAGTAAGCAGTCGCAGCTGGTCAAATTGAAAATGAGCCAGTTCAGGTCACAAGCTGAGAAATCAATGCGTCATAGATACAGGAATAGTTTCTGTTGTGGCTATTAAATATGGAATGAGTTATCTATTTTATTCAGCTTTATACAGACTGAAGGCCACGGAGCACTTCAGCTGTATGTCAACAGAAAGCTTTTGTTAAACACTGATTGTGCTTTTTTTTCCCCGTCTCGTGCTGTCAGTCAGCCCCCATTAGACAATCATGCAGTTCACAGCAACATAAATTAGTAAATGACAGTGAAAGGAAGTTTGGACAAGCCTGTCGATGCAGAAACAATGGCATGTCTGTTTGACACAACTGGTCTCTGTCAACGTACAACAAAAGGCTTTGCATCACTCACTCAGCCATGACTCCTGCTTTGTTGCTTGGTAACAAAACCAAGTGCATGTTATGGTTTGTACATGCAGTGTAAGTGTTTGTGTGAATGTGCAGGTGTCTCTCGGTGTGCTTGGCATGCTCTGTTCTGATGCTAAATGTGTTTAACAGGGTTTCATTCACAGAAGGACTTAGGAAGCTGCTTCTGCAGATCAGATGAGAGGATAAGTGCTAATCTTAGCTGTAGTCGGGAGCAGCTGCTTTAGGGATTCTGTCAGGACGAGGGGATCTCTGTATGTGTAGAAACTAATGTTTACATAGGTTTTACAATGAAACATGTTTGTAAATGTCTGTTTTTTCATTATTTGGAGATATTTACATCCACATGGATGTAACAATCCATTATTTGTCAGTTTGTATTTTATCAATAGCATAAAAATTAATAACTCTTTATTTTTACTTTACACATTACTTTGCACATTTTCTAAACAAACTTATTTCATATAGAATTATATATAGTAAATTCTGATTTGAAATCGGACCTCATATTCTTTTACTTTTATAGGGTCTTGTTTAGAATTGATAGATTTATCCTTTTGAGAGTTGTCTGCATATTTGTGAGTAAAGTACCTCTTGTTAGCTGCAGCTGACAGGCACTCAACCTGGGTATGCAAAGCTAATAAAATCCAAGTAAGATTTGTAAGGAAACTTCAAGAACACCATCTTCACTGGGCGACTATTTCTGGAAATAAGGATCCTTGTGCCTGGCTAATTTATCAATTCTGTAAAACTTTAAAAAAACAAAACAAAAAAAACAATGGAAGTCTGCAGCATTAAGTTGGATCTGAGAGGAAACTGAGGTGTCATTGTTCCAGTGACCCTGTGCTTTTTCCAGTGGTTATGTAACCCTGTGCTGTTCAGGATGCTGTTTTCTTGTCCTTCAGTGACAGGAGACGCACTGCTTCACTGAGGAGGAATTTACTCTTCTGTAAAAAGACGTTTGATCTAAGAACTGGTTCTCCAAGCTCATCTCAGAACATGAAGTGTGTAAAATGTACAAAATATGTTACCCTTATGTGTGAATATTTTTATTAATTCTCTTATAGATCACATCTTATTAATTTACAAACACCTAACTGAAAAAAGTAATTCACCAAATGTATTTTAAAAGTCTTTTAAACACATTTGGATGCATGGTAAAAATGTGCTTAAAGATAAAAATTATGTACATAAAGATTTGTTTGCCTTTTTAATAAAAACAAAAAACAAAGGGAAATTAAAAACTCTACATCTCTGAAACCGTGTTCAACTTTGACATTTCTCCATAAAATCCCTGACTGATGGGTTAAAAGGGACGTAATGTAACGGATGTATTCTTTAACTGTAGCCTCTATGTGAGCTAATGTCTTGTGGAATGTGAATTATTTGTGCATCATCTGAGTGATGGCAGAGAAAAAGCAGCTTGTCCTCATCTGTTAGACTGACAGAGAACCAGGATGAACAAAAGAAGAAGTGTTTATGGATCATTCCCTGCAGCTACTTCTTCTTCCTCACCTTCAATCTCACTATTTGTTTCTCTGGTCTCTGGGAAACTCAAATACCTGCTATTTAGGTGTCAGTTACCTGCTGAGTGAGTTTGACCTGGAGCCTCCTTAGAAACATACTCATAATGTAGGATTTTGGTTATATTACTGCAACTTAAAGTTATGGTTTGCTTTTTTTTTTTTTTTTTAAACCTCAAGCATGAAATGAATCTCTGTCTTCTGCAATTTCTTAACCCTTTGTAACTTGTGCACATTTATTATTTTATGTGTTGCAGTTATTCATGTGTTGCAACAACAAACAAAAACATAAATTTTGAAAAATGTTAATTGTGAAGAAATTACAGTAAAACCTTAAAATGTATCATTTTCAATAGTTTCTTATTTATTGCATCTTTCATTTGGCATAATATAAAGATGACTGAAATGTTTGGTAAAACATGAAAAATGTCTTTAGTATTTTTAGTAGGGCTGTCCTGATACAGATGATATTTAACTCTAATACTGATAAACTCATTTAAGACATGAGCCGATACCAAGTTCCACTTCAATACTTTGTTAAAGTTTTTATTAAATAATACATAAAAATTATTTTAAACTTGGAAGCAAGTTGGAAGCTTTAACATGTAGTTGAATTAATCAGTGCAACACCAGTGCCATTCAGGATGCTGAATGTTGCTTTTCTTTTTCCTGTCATCTGCTGAATGTCTTGCTCATAATAATGAAAGAAGCAAATGTTGTTTTCTTCCCTCAGCACTGGTGTCCCAACTGAAAAGATTTGTCAATATCACGTCGTAGAGCTTATGTACGATAAATTCACTGATCAAAAAAGATTTTTCAGCCATTCAGTGGAGTTAAAGTAAGGTTCATTAATTAATTAAAATTTAGCCAGTATACCAAGCTATTAAAATCAACCTAGATTAATGTTTGACCATTTTACAGGTATAAAATTTTTGTACATTCAACAAAGAAGAGATTTTCTGCACATTTGAAGTTTTTTTTTTTTTTTTTTCTTCACTTAACCTAAAGTCTAACAAGGACATTTGGCTGACTTAGAGAAAAGTATTTCCTGGAGGTAAATGACTAATGTGAGGCATTCCTGTTCACTACAGGGCTGATCAAGCTGAAAACAATCTGATTCTGATCATTAGCAATTTATCTGAGTGTATGTCTATTATTTCACACTTGCTGATTAAAACTGAAAAACAAATACTCTGAAACTGCTGAGTAAAAGGTGAAGTAACGGTTCTAGTACATTAGTCTTCCCTGAAATCTGTGCAACCTGTATTCCAATTCCTCACACATCTCTGTCTTTTTCTCCAGGGGAAGCGACTGCAGCCGAAGGCTCAAGAATGTAAGTGTTGCCATTGGATTAGATTGTTGTAATTTGTTTGTGAGCTAAATGCATGATTGGTTTTGAAACCAGTATTTTGACACACTGTCTGTTTGGACTGCTGTGACTTTGTTTCCATCTTCCTTTTCTGTTGAGTCTAATTAGGTTTGTTAAATTTCATGGAGTTACTATCTGTGTTGTCAGAAAACATTTCTCTCCTGCAGAAATGGGATTTTAGTAACCTTACTTTCTTTATTATCTGCTCCAACATAGCTCTCGCTCTTCTTTTTTTTTTTTTTTTAATGGCTCTTTAAGAAGCAGAAGGTGCTGTGCTAGCCCTGCCCACTCTGCAGTCGGAGCAGTTCCACTCGTTCTCCGTCCCTTCACTCTCTCTGTGATGCTGGTGTGCACTGAGCAAGTTCATATGTGTGCCATTGCAGAGCTCACCTCTCCTGCTGGCTCATTTAGCTGACTAAACACATTGAGTCTCTGCTGTGTTAGCCAGCATTTACAGCTGCAGAGGAAATGATTCTCAAATTGCCAGTCGGTGATGCTTTAGCTCGGATCTGCTTGTGTGACGTCCACTGTGGATTTGCCTTGCACACTGAAGACTGAGGACTAGGATTGGACAGGGGCTGTCTCTGCAGCGCATCAAATATTAAGAGGTGAAGAATCTGCTGTGAGAAGAATCTGCTGATGTGGTCATAAAGCTGTTTAGCAAACAGATTTGATGTTATGTTGAAAAGAGTCTGCCTGGAGGAGTGGAATATCACTGTATTGGTTATGTGCTTGTTAAGCAGGAGAAGATGTGAACAGCCAGTGGAGCGTTTTTTGTTTCTTTGTATTGGAAACCACACTTAGTGTGGGTTAAAACATAAGTACTCATGTGAATAGTTGTTCACATCCCAGTTGATTTTATTTTTGTTTTTTGGTGCTTGGCGACCGTATCTTTCCACTAGATCCTCGTTGACAGGCCATATGTCACAGCAGACAGCTGCTGAAACTGATGAGGTAAAGTAAGTGTGACACACTTCTCTCTCTGAGGCCTCTTGTTGATTTTGCTGTCACTCAAAACTTCACTGACTCGTTTTAAACAAATGTTTCCTTTCACCTGGTGCTTCTCAGCGCTGATGTTGGAGTTTTGGTTTGACAGTTGTCAGCTCGTTGGTTTGGTGTTTCTTGTGTTAAATAGTGCTAGAACAGACATATGATGCTTTTCACTATGGTTTTGTATTTGGGATCAATGTGGATCTATTTGGAGCTCAATAGTGAACATGTGGAACACATTTGGTTGCGACCTACATTCACTGGAGATGTGCCCATTATGCTGGTGACACTGGAGTGCTGCGCTTTGCTGAGCTACATGATGCTTGTGATAAGGTTTAAAGGTCATCGCTTCTCACAAGTTTTCCTTTTCTGTTGGGTTCAGGCTTTTAGGTTATGGTAGATGGGTAGATCAGTGGTTCCCAAACTTTTTCTGCCCCCCACCCCTCCCCCCCGTGCCCTATGCTGTCTGGTTGAACGACGTGTGTGTGGGGGGGGATTCTTAGAGACTTGGAAAGTTAGAGACTCCCTGTCTCTAACTTTTTTGGGGGCAAAATAAATGTACATAGCTGGACATAAACAACAACATCGGTAGCCTACAAGGTACTTGTTAAGCTTAAGGTGATGTATTGATATTAGCTAGTCATCTTTTAGCTAACATTACCTGCATCCAACAGCTTTACTGAACTCAGGCTGTTAGTTTGGAGGGAAAAACTGTGAAAAGTTCTTTGCGTTTTGCTGCTGTGATTCTAACACAAACCTACGTAGCTCCGCACAGCAGCAGCAGGTCTCCTTCACAGGTGTAAACCCAGCGCGAGTGTCGTAGCGCTCATGTTGCCTTTAAAGGTGGCTCGGAAAAACAGGTTTCCACATGTTAATACTGGATTAAACCATTTTAACTGCTGATAAAAGTGACAGAGGACACAAATATGGGAAGTGTGGAAGCCTCTACTGTATCAAATTGACATAGGAATAACGGAGAGTTGGCCATTCTAAGGTAAAAATCCAGCGTATACAGCGTTCATGTTTTGTTTTTTTTGTTTTGTATTTCTTTCATCCAGACGGCTTCCCGCGCCCCCCCTGCAATGGCACCGCGCCTCCCCAAGGGGGCGCGCCCCACAGTTTGGGAACCTCTGGGGTAGATGATGAAATTCACTACCAAAATTGATAAATGTATAAAGTGAATGAAAATAAATCAGAACAGCAGTCAAAAGTCATCAAAGACGTTTTGGGAAACCAATCTGTTGAACTGGTGCAAAACACAACCACCATAGAACTCAGTGGTATTATTGACTGCTGCCCCAATTTGAGTTCCTAAATCAGAAGATTTGAGACCTTTCAGACTGGCACTCTACGGAGAGACTTAAAAGTTCTGTCATTAGCCTAGAGAAATATTGAACTTCATGGAGATGATCACAAAAAACAAGATTTAAAAAATATCACTTCTTAAGCTTTTAATTAGTTAATTTACAAATGGTATGTTCTCCACTAAGTACTTCTGACCTGTTACTCAAAATAAAGAACTCATTGCATTTAAAGTTCACTCAGGATCACAGCAAGCGACTCATTTGGCGTCATGCTTCCCTCTGACCAGCAGGCCCAACCCTTTGCTTGTCCTCTCTGTGTATTTGAATGGCAGAAGCTGTTTACATTGACGGTGCCACTGCAATTACCACATTAAGCCTGGCTGAGCCTTCTTATCAAAGCTGTCCCTGTGGAGTACAGGTTGACATGGACACTGTAAATATAGCTGGAATCACCCCGCCAACAGTGCTAAAGGTGCAGCCCTGTGTGATGTCAGCCTCAGTCTGTACATTCTGCATTTTACACATTAAGCTGACTGCAAAGAAACTTCCAATGACTTCTGCTTTGTTTCCTCTTCCACACTCAGTGGAACCCTGGATCATTGGGTTGCAAATGGTCCAACTAAACAGCAGAGTAGTCCAGCTACTTGTTCTGTAATGTTTCTGTAGTCAAAGAGAGGCAAAACTGACCCAATAATTTATTCAATAAATCACAGTGGCCAATTCAAAGGTCAGTATACGAGTCATAGAGCTGTGTGTGACTTACCTGAACTGCTGAAACAGTGCGTTTGTTGATCATTTTACCAAATCGACAGTGAATCCCTGTTCGCTGGCGCTAGGGACCAAGACTACAAACAGAAATCTTTCATCTAGTATACTTGAGACCACATCTAAAACATGTTTTTTTTACAAAGTACTGTACTTTTTTTTTTTATTTGTAAAAGCTGCACTTAAATTTTTTGAAATGTAACTTGCATGTTATATAATGTTGATGATTGTAAACCATTCTGCACTTCCTTGTGTAGGCAGCAAACCTCCCACCCACTATGAAAATCATATCATAAAGGATTGTCTTTCAAGGCACACCTACACCCAAATTTCCTGCACTGCTTAGTGATTGTTAATCTTTTTTATATATATATATATAATTTTAGACTTTTCTAACTTTGAGAGAGTGAGTGATGATATTTTTCCACAGGGTATTCTTTAAGTTTGAAAAGCCAGAAAAGACTCACTGGCAGCAAATTGTGAGACAAGAAGCTCTGTCCACCCACCCTGAAACACGTTGGACATGTTGGATTCAGCCATGATGCTCCATGTTCCCAATGAAATTAGAATTTCCTTATGGTCAAGAACTAAGACTATAAGTTTGATAATTTAAGCACAAAATAAGGTAAATCATAAAAATAATATTTTTTGATTAATTAAAATAGCACTCACTATAAACTCTTGAGAAATTCATAACATGCTTTGTATGAATTAAGCATAAACTACTACTTATGTTGGTGGCATAGGTATTATTTTGGCACACCAAAATAATATTCTTTTAATCATTTATAGTATACTGGACGTAAATATATCTGATTCATTTGATATCTGCTAAGAGGAGAGCATTGAAAGCTTTGTTGGTTTGATCAGGCATATAAATCTGTTTGTTCCATGCTTACCATTATCCCAACAAACCAGATGTCACTTGAGTTTTGTGATAATTTGACCCATTTCTCCCCTGCAGGTTTTAATCACCATCTACTGGCTCGGTCGCGCTGCCAACAGCTGCACCTCCTACAACGGGCCCACGCTGGACCTAAAAGAGTTTGAGGGCTTGCTGTCACAAATGCGAAAGGTCTTTAAAGTCATATTTTAATGAACCATAATGTTTTTAGTATTTTATTATATTAATATGTTGATAATCTCAGTATGAGGAAGTTTACTTCTAACCAGTATGGCCAGAAATGAGACACAAACAGTCTCTGCTGTGTCACTTGGTTCAGGATTCAGTAAAGGAATGTTTTTGGACCTCTTGATGTCAGGAAATATTTGAGAAGTGATCTCAGAGAGATGACAGCATCAACCACCTGAGGTCCAGTCATGACCTTCATAAACTAGATTCCTCTGGAAATCCTGCTGTTGCTGTCCAGAAGGACGGAGTAATATTAGAATTGGTTTTACAAATCTTCCTGTGACAATCATTCATACCCATGATGTCACCCTGCATGAAATTTCTTCCACATTGTCACATCATTTCTCTGTCTATTAAACAGATGAATTACTGCCAAGTCAGGAGAATTAGTTTACCAGATGTTCATATGTGGCATATGGACAAAACAAAACCTTTTTTTCCAATAAATAAAATACTGGAATAACAGGGGAGTTCCATAAAACTGCAAAATCCATTCACTTCTGATTGGCAACACATTATACTCAATGCTTCCTTTATTTATTAAAGCTGAGTGAAAAGCCTGAACCAGGTGAATCTGACTGCACCAGAAGGAAAGAAGCCTTTATATCCCTGGTCATTCTTATATGACCAAAACAAATAACGAATATGTCACTGTCAAGCACAATTCCCACCCACTGTGGAGCATTCAATACAGAGATTTATGCAAGGCTGGAGAAGCTATAGCAAAGTGTTATGGGGTCAGGAAAAGGAAGCCATTTGGTTGACAGGAAAGGTCTTTCTCCACCTTCCACTAGTACCAAAGACACATTTCAGCTGTCAGCAGAAAAAGGGGAAGGTCACTAAGGCGAAGAGAGAGTAATGAGAAAGGATGTAGGCAGAAGATAATGAGGATATTTTGGAAAGGTTGTTGACTAAACAGATGTGGGAGGACTGTGGAATTATCTGAGAGGTTTCAAAGTCTAAAGTGCAACATTTAGACTATGGATTTTTTTTAATAAATTGGATTAAATTATATTTGTTTCACCCTTTTCTTTAGTTCACATTTTAGAAACCAAAAAATCTGATTGTGTTTTTCCTATTTCCTCATAATGTAGGAGGCAGAGGCGGCAGAAAGTCCTCAACGCAGCATTCGGGACAGTGGCTACATCGACTGCTGGGACTCTGAACGCAGTGACTCGCTCTCCCCGCCACGCCACGGACGCGAAGATTCATTCGACAGCCTGGACTCCTTCGGCTCGCGCTCGCAACAGACTCCGTCGCCGGATGTCCTGGTCCCACGCGGCAGCAGTGATGGTAGGATATCATCCATCTCTCTTTGTTCAGAATGTTTGCATACAATGAACCACTGGTACTCTGGCGGGCCATGGACCACAGCGTAACCCCACTATTATATCAGTACTTGAGGTATAAAAATGCATCTCTCTAAGCATTTTTAGACTCAAAATATACCCTAAAATGTTTTAATATTCATAGTGGAATCTGTCTGGGCACTACCGCAGAAGCTAAGTCTTCCTCATCTCCTCTTCTGGGGCAAAAAGCAAAAATATATAAGGGGGCAAATACTTGTATATGTAGCACGTAGCAACCCAAACGTCAAAGCAGTTTTTATTGTTTTTGCTGAAATTACGAAATGTGTTGGAAAGTTCTTCAGGTTTTTATGATGCCAAACTTAACCATCTGCTGCAGCTAACTGCTGTTCACTGCTACACTGTTTAAGTAGTGCCTTTTAAAGTTTAACAGCAGCTTAGAAAAGCCTGCAGTAGTCGTCATGATGTTATTTCTATTGCCAAATTGCATGAGAGACAATTCAGAGTAAGGCTTAGGGTCCTGTTTGTTTCTCCTTCTGGGAAGAGCTATCAGACTGTAGTTCTCTAAATCTGCCTTACTTGTTGATAAGTTTAACTAAAAAAATAAATAAAAATACTCACGGTCTCCATCAAATAAAAAAAAAAAATAGGAGGTTTGTAGTCTCACAAATTTAAAGGCAAAAAAATGACAAACAGAAATCCTTAATCAGTCTGAGAGATCACGTTTTTATCCTGTTAGGTTGCTGCAGTAAACCCAATTGCTCAACTGCCCTGAAGATTTATCTAACAGATTTTACTGCAACAGTTTCTTCTAATCAATTTCTCTGAGCATGAAGCTCAAGGTGATTTGTTATTCTGTCAAGCATCTTGTATTCATATTCTTTAACACCAGAGTTTAAAAACTTTGTGATAAGTGATGAAGTACAGGGAAGCAGAATTTATCCCTGAAAAACTATATGGCATTACTTTACCTAGTTAGAGCTGTGTAATAGGTATTGGGTGTATTTTATCACAAAATGTATGTTCATTAAAACACAAATCTTCAAAAATGTAGACGTGATTGGATACAAAAAAAACCCCAAAGAGAAGCTTATATTTGTGATCACCCAAATGCATGAAACCTTGACTCACACTGTGAACGAATGCATCCATTTACCAACATCCATACAAACGTGCCAGGTTTTCCTGCCGTGACCTTCAGACAAAGTCCTTGCTTTTTTCATCAATGAAAATTGACTTCACCCTGAGTAACCAGGGGACAGATGGAAGAGTTTAATTCATCCTTTGAATGAAATTCAATATTGGCAACATGGTTTTGTCTCTGCCAACTTTGGATGTTGATACAACTCTGATACATGAGGCTGCCTTTGGGGAGCTCGCATAATACAGTTTTAGCTAATTCCCTCATATTGATCATAGAAAATCGATTCAGTTAAGCAATTAAACCTTATCCTCTGAACAAATATTTAAAATCTGAAAAACGGGTATTTCAGAAAAGATTTGATCCCTGGTTACATTGTATTTTATATTTGTGCATATTTCTGAATACAGAGTTTTTCACTCTTACTAAAATGGTCAGTTTATTACGTGTTACATAACAGGAAACGGATAGTACCAATTTTCGGCTGCCATTATAACCCATATAATAGCATCTCAAAGTGAATAACTGGAATCATTTAATTCCACATCATCGGTCTTAGCTGTGGAAAGTTCTATAACTCTTTACTTGTGGACTTTCCATCATTTCAGTTGCTGTATTTAACACACTGCACCCCTCTACTCTTTTGTGGGAGTTTGTAGATGATGTTTGTAATCTGGTACAGTATAGCACTGACACATGAAACATTTTCCCTCAACCCTCAGTGTTACCACATCTGCAGAGAGCACATCATCCCATGAAAACATATGTTGCTCCTTAAAGATGGATTTACATGGATGAAAGGGACACTCATGTTTCCTATTGATGGGTTAAAAGTCATAACCAAATCCTTCACAGTTGGAAGTGTGGATATCTCCAGGGCTTTTGGGTTGGAGCTTCATCTGTTTCAGACCAGAACTTTTCACAACTGTAATGTGACGTTCATTTCCGCTAACAGACATGGCTGCTTCCATATGTTTCTGATCAGAAATGAAGGACTGTTTTATGATTCAAATCTGATTGAAAGTTTTGTGTTTATAGTTAGGAAATGTTTACACTGAGTCACAGCTCACAGTCTGAGCACAGGAGCACTACAAGTGAAGAGACAGTGGCACAAGTTTGTCTCAGCTGATCCACCGGTATCCATTTCACACTACTAATTCACTGGAGAGGTTTTCAAAATAAATGAACAAATCAAAGAGGAACCTACTGGTATGCCAGGAGTAAATTACTGGAATTAGACATGTGACTGTTTCAAAGAACGTGATTTTCATTCCTCTCCTCTGTGTATTATTAGAGGATTGAATTAGGACATATTGTGGAGGAATTTACCCCACACATTAGGGAAAGTCCGTGAGCAGTGCACTTCTGCAGAGCCAGGTGTTGAGAACAACATTAAAGACCCTGAAGTGGGTTTAAACTGTGAAATGGAGACAAATTGGCATCCAGAGTAAAATCTTGCATACTCTAGGCTAAAATGTCGTAAGCTGTACAATGTTAATTTAGTAATGATTTATGTTGCTGTCTTTGTTTCATAAACGCAACCCATCAGCCTGTTTGGGTTTGATTGATGCTCAGTGGATGGAATGCATTGTATTTTATAACACGGTAAGATTGCTGTAAGGCTCATGACGTTTAGGAACTGAAGACTATAATCTGTAGATTTAAAGAAATGGTTTTCAGACATCTGCCATGAGGCTCATCAATTACAAGTGTCTTAAAATAATTTCATACCTTTGTTTTTCCCCCCTTCGCTCTGTTCCCAGTTATCCTCGTCAATGACTCGGCGAGCTGTCTTACCGTTTACAAGATACCTAAATTAAACAAGACCTAGAAATGCATTACTCTATCTGAATTAAATTATATAGATAAAAAGTATGTATCAAGAAAGGTCTGTATATGATGTTTTAATCATATTACAGTTAGTCTATTTTCTGTGATAGACTAGCATAAAGTAGCATTGGTTGATTATTTTTTGTTTGGTTTTGTAAAAAAAAAAAATCAGAAAAAAAAATGAATTATTTTATTTAGTTGCACTAATTAAAAACCCCTTGGAATCTATAGCTAAGATGATTTTGGGGGTCTAGTATCTACTCTTATCTACAGAATAGAAATGGTTAGAAATACTTGCCTTTTTTTGCCAGGCTAAAAAGATTAGGTCAGAAAAAAGAAAAAATCAAGTCTTGCTTTAGATTCTCATCTGAATTTGGGTATGGACTTGGACTGGTCCATTCCAACACATATTATTTAATCTGAACCGTTTCATCGCAGCTCTGGCTGTAAAGTTTGGTCTGCTGGGAGGTGACCTTCTGCCCTTCAAAGATTTTTATTAACATTAGTTCTGACAAGCTGACTAGTAAATGTTTTAATGTAACACGACAAAATGTGAACAAGTTCATAGGATATGAAGTCTTTTACAAGGTGCTTTAAACAGGTTAACTGTTAAAATTATACTGCAAAATAACAATGATGATGAAGGCAATCTGTTATTAATTTAAATATCTGATTCAGCAATGCATTTCTTCCATTAATTTCCTTGTAATTATAGTTTCCAGCTCTTCATTGCATGAGGATAATGGGAATCAGCCTTCAGGCATTTTGTAACTCTGCTGAATCATCAGCCTTTCAGTCTGATGTCTGCTGAGGCATGAAAAAAAGTTCTCCAAACTGAAAGAAATATGTCCCTCACCTTTACTTCTCTTCCGTTCCGTGAAAATAAAAATCTTTTCATTTGCTAGTCTCCGAAAATTAGATTAAATCCTGATTCAGCAGTGAACAGCTACTTTCTGAGTGAAGATAAATGAAGTAGAATGACCAGTATTTTTCACAATAAGAGAGATTATCATTATATAACACTAATAAAAATATTTTTTGCACCTCTTTGGCTCACCTTAGGCCGCGGCAGTGACTCAGAGTCCGACGGCACCCCTAACAGGAAGATGCCGGACCTCCACAAGGACGACATGTTGGCGCGGCGGACATCAGTCACTGAGCTGCGCACCGCCATGCCTTTCAACCAGTACCTCCCCAACAGGAGCAACCAGAGTGGATACGTGCCGGCACCACTTCGCAAGAAGAAGAACGAAAAGGAGGAGGGAGGTCACAAGAGCTGGAGTACCGCTACATCACCTGTAGGGGGAGGCAGGCCCTGCAGGTGAGTCACAAAATGATGAAAAGAAAAGGTTAAAATAAACAGATGAAAAATATCACTTTCATTGATACTCTTGTTTGTTTAGTTTAATTATTTTAATTTAATGTGGTGCACTTATAAATATAAATCATCAAAATATGAGTTGGAGTAGTTGGAGCTAAAATAAACAGGAGTAAAACTTTGGTCTTAGATTTGGATCGGACACCGTGTGTCAATGTGCACATTTCTGGTATGAAACTTTTTAGCCGCTGATTATTTTTCTCCGTCTCATATTGTTCTGACGGGAGTGGCTGATGGAGGCCAGATGTGTGTTTTCATTGGCCCTCATTGAACCATGCTGCTCAGCTCTGAAGGGCTTATTGAATATATATTGGTATGGCATGTTAACGCCAGGGAGAGCAATGTTCAGACTTTTCATCACAAGTTTTACATTTCTGCTTGCTCACTAAATTCTTTCACATTTTTCTCTTTACTAACTATAATGTCTGTATGTGCTACCACTTCAGAGGTTGACTGAACTTACATCTATCACTTTAGTTTTATTAAGATGTAAATTACAGATAATTAATTCAAAGCCTCTCGGTTTTATAATTAGTCTTCCACGTTGTTCTGGTTTCCATCATCACTCATCGTTTGCTGCTAAAATGTTTTTTTTTGTTTTGTTCTTTTTAATCAAATTGTGTGGTCTCAAAACTGTGCATTAAATAATTTTTCCTTTCATGTTTTACCTCCTCTTGTCTTTTGCTGCCTTTAATTTTTCATGTGTGCTTTCACGTGTTGTGATCATCATACCATAATCCTCCCCATGTCACCAATTTTCCTCCAACCTGATTATGTGCTCCTGGTTTTTCCTCTGTGTGGGGTTAATGGTGTAACAGTACAAATGGAGTCCCTGTTTTAGTACTCCCACTTGGAGAGTCCCTCAGCCCTTCTCCCTCCCCAATCATCGAGTCACAGATTCAGAAGAGCGAGAGTAAAGATGAAGATGAAGAGGAGGAGAAGGAGGAAAAGCTGAAGGTCTTCTCACCTTGCTTTAATATCTATGTTGTGGGAATAAGGAGGAGCAGCGAGCCTCCCAGAGACACCATCACTCAGCTGAAGGTCAACTCTGAGCAAAGGTCAAATTCCATGTCCAACTTCCCTTTACTAAACAGGATTCAAATAAGTGTTCCCTATAAATCTCTTATTGAGTTGTTGTTTCTAATATTTTCTGAGAAATAAATAGTCTTATACAGTCTCTCAGTTCTCTCCGAAAATTTGGTTTTGTTCGGAGAATTATCCATTCCACCATGTGAAAGATTTTGGTTCAAGCAACTGTTTATTTCAGCTGAGTATCGTCTTAACCGTCTCAGTTTCTTTCCATCTGAATATCTCTCCTCCATTCATTTTAATTGTCAGCAGATGCCACATTTTCTGAAATGATGTTCAACGTTATTCATAAACATAACAATGAGTGGTTCTCATCCTTAGAAAACACTTCCAACTTTACAGCTGGTGCTTTAATCCGACCCTTTTACACTTTGGCACTGTAATTATCAGATCAGATTTTACACCATCGCTCCTTTTCTACAGCTTAACTGTAAGCTAACAAGGCTCTGAGCACTTTTAAAGCTGGTTAGGACACACCGTCCTGAACTGCCTTTCCTTTATTGAACCAGATTAAGTGTGCACCTAGCTGGCCACCCAGAGGCCGTAAATTATACTTCAAGTTTTAAGGAACAAGAGGAGCCTTATCAATTCAAGGCTCAATGTGGTTTTTAGTTCAGTTCTCATCATTTCTTGCTTGTTCTAGGATTGGCAGTATTTATTTCTTGAAAATTAAATTTTAAGCCTTAGGTTATATTATAATCCAGCCTTATCCTGTGTTTTTGTATTTTTTTTCTAGAAAGTTCAACATTTCATTCAGTCCTGTTGGTTTGTTATTGTGAGTCACATCCCCCATTTTCCCTTTTGTTTTCGTCAGTTTGGCACAGATGTTATGGCTTTGGTTGATTCTCAATATTTTAAGAATGTGTGTTTTCCAAAGGCCCTGCAGGTTTTAAGGATTTTATACAAAGCTCCTACATGAGGCTCTTAGCATAGATATTTACATTTGAACATCACATGTTTAGTTTCACAGCAGATTTAAAGCCTTCATTTAATTTTTGTTGCTTTCTTTTCTTGTCACTCATAGTTTTGCCAAAAGTAGATGAATTGAAAATGGTTTCATATTACTTGAACTTTTTCACACTTTGCCTTTTTACAATCACAATTTTTAATGCATTTTTTTAGGTATTTTACATATTTGACCAACACAAAGTAGTGCATAATTGTCAAAAGTAAGGATAATTTTGCATAATTTATTTTTCTTTTTTCTTTTAAAAAACACAAATCAGAAAAGTGAGCTATTCATATGAACTCTGACATCCATAAATATCATCCATATCAATATTGCTTTAGGAATTGTAATTTAATTTCAGTACAAATGCAGCGGACACATGGTGGCAGCATCATCCTGTAAGAAATCTTTATCAGTAACAATTCAGCTGTTCACAATCATTGTGAAGACAAATAGAGTTAAACACAGGACATTCAAGGCACGGGATTTCCTTCCACTTAAAACATGTAGCCAGATCTACATTGGAATGGCCTAGTCAAAGTCTATACATTTATCCCGTTCAGAATCAGTAGCAAGACTTGACAATTGAAGTTCACGGATGTTTTCCATCCAATCTTTTGGTGCTAGAGTTATTTTAAGAGGAAGACTGAGCTGAAATTTCAGGTTGTAGATATCCTATAAGGTGGTAGAGACAAATCCCAAAATATATGTAACAGTAGCCAACAGTGTTCTTACCGTATTGACTCAGGAGGGGCTGCAATGTTGCAAAGCGTGAAAAGGTTTGGAGTGGATGTAAATGTGTTTTTAGGGCAAGTGTTGGTAATAACATTTTCAAGAATCAAGAGAAAATATTTTCCGTGTACATTCCAGGAGATTAATTTTAAATCACTTCATTAAAACTACCATCAAAGAAACGTGTGTGCACGTTTTAAACAACGGGCCATACATGCAAAACTGTCCCGCATGTGCACACGTATCAAAACATACTCAAAAACAGTCTGCACATGTGGACCTGGCCTCAGGATGTGAGGAAATGAGGTCCTCTTCCGTCCCTGACCCCGAGCATATTGGGACTGAAGGCCATTCTTCTCCCTGTCAGCAGCTGGCCACTTTCTCTCTGCACGCTGTAGTTTACAGTCCAGTAAAATCTACCAGCAAAGCAGCTGATCACGAAGCAGTGGCAAAACAATAAAAAGACTTGAAGCGTTTTTGGGTTTGGCTGTTTTTGCACCCAGCTGCTCTAAACAGATCTGTTAGCATGCCGCGTCTCCTCTGATTTATGACCTCACAACCGTTCCACATTCAGGCTGCTCCAGAGGAATGTTGTCTGATTATATAGGGAGATACAAGGCAGCCAAGCGCTTCAGTTTGCTTTGCTTTCTGCAGTATTCCAGCTCGCTCGTGCTCAGAGGAACTCTTCCAGTACTTGGCGGCCCTGTCACCCAGCGCTACCAGCCGTGCTGGGAAACGTCCGACCGCAACAGACCAGGAGGATCCGGGATGTGCAGGTGCAGATGGAGATGATAAACGGGCCTGTCGAATGCTGACCTCATCCAAATATGCTTCCTCTGAGTTCCTTCCTGTGCCCACTGCCATGGCAACCACTTTAGCTGCTGCAGGAGCAACCGATGCAGGCGGATTGAAGGGAAGGAGTGACGGAGAAGAAGCAAAGGAAGAGAAATCTTGTTTGGGCCATAGTCTTCCAGCAACGTGAGCCGAGTCATTTTATCAAACTTTGATGCTTTTGGCTCCAACTCCTTGATTTGCCTTTACCTGAGGGATCTGTCAGAACGATGATCCTGGAGCGCAATCTCTATCAGCATGATGTTGACCTCGGTGTGCACTGCTTTGACTGGATGATGACCTAAATAGTGCATGATATTATCTACATAAACCGGGATTAGAAATGTTGTTCTAAATGATTAAATGTTTGAGCAATGCATGAAAATGTGAAAATAAATTAAAATTTTCTTGATTTTTTTTTTTTTTTTTTTTTTTTTTTTTTAAAAAGGGGGAAAAAAAGGTGTCCTTTTTTTTTTTTTTGGGGGTCCCCATTGGGGGAAAAAATT